GTGTGGCCTGGGGTGGCTCTTGTGGAGGTCCCCCTGATGTTAGTTGTGGCCAAAGGGTGACCTCCTTAGGGTGCCGGCCCTCATCTGCAGAAGCTCAGCGTTGTGGCTGAAGCGGAACCCCTGTAGGTGCGACAGAGACATCCAAGGCCAAAAAAATGCCCTGTGCCCTCCCGCCTGGCCAGCGATGACGGCGGTGTCGGGGTCCCCAGAGGTTGCCGCTGGCTGGGCCGTGTCCCCAGGGAACTCCCGCACGGCAGTCCCCGTGCTTGTCCCTGCTGCCGGCGTCCAGGCGTGCTGTTACGTCTGGCTGTCACTCGGCTTCTGAGCCCTGAAATCCTTTAAAATGTGATGATTTTTAGTAAGCAGGTTGTCAGCTGCTCCTGTGTTTGTTAAAACAAGCGTAGCAATAGGTGCGTGTTTAAGGAATCGGTGCCATAGGTGGTATGTATGCCTGTTATATCCTGTTAGATGGAGTTTAAAACCCGTGTTTGGTCAGCAGCTCTGAAGTTTTTACAGCAGACTCTTGTTAAATGTTGTGTTAATGAAAAATGCAGTATTGAAGAGCAATAAATTTGGAGTTGAGGGGAGAGGAGTGTGGCTGTCTGAACACAATGCTGAAGTAATTCAGTAAAAACTTGCCCAAAACATTATGTTACGAAGATATATAGGGTCTTGTTGTCCACTGTATTTAGTAGTGTCCAAGGAAAAAGATTGTAAAATGCTAGTTTTCTAACTTGGTTATTTTTTTATTTGTTTCCCTGGGTATAAATAGTAGACAAAGGCAACATTTATTCTATCGTTTATATTCTCCAAAGACCCACTGGGGAATGAGGGAAAAGAAGACAGTCTTCTTTTTAAGGGTGTTTTTTGTGATAGCGGTCATAAACCCAGTAAAAATCCTCAGGAGGTTTAAAAGAGGGGGAAAAAAATGCACACAGGTGGAGTGAGAATACGAGAGCAAAAGCTCATGTGATGTGAGGGAGCTGCGGTTGATCACTCATGTTGCTGGTGCCAGGGCACAGTTTAAACACAACCTAAAATTCGTCTTGATCTTCAGCTATAGCACGATGGGCTTGAGTGTATATAGCAGTGCAGGAGAGTGTGAACCGGTGATGTGACCTGCTGGTCAGATATCTCCTGGCAGGCCTCTCTGTTTTGAAAGAGGCCACTGCTCCGGCCGCTGCCGCACTGGGTGGTGCAGCTGGGGTGCCCGCATCCCTCCCCGGCGCTGGGACGGGCTGTGCTGGTGGAGTACCATGGCTGTGACTTGGCCCACTTGCCTGGTCTGTAGTTGGAGGCACGCTTGTTATTTGCCGTCGTTAATGACGTGTAGACCTTGGCAGTGGAGCTGTGTAGTGGGTAAATTAACAACAGGTTAAAAAATTGGCGTCTAATACTGGCTAAAACGGATTAAAAAAAAAATAGAGTCTACTAGGACATCTTAATTTGCACGTGTTAAATGGAAAACATGATTGGAGAAAACATGACAGGAGTCCTGAGATGCGAGTTTAATGTTTTTTCTTGAACAGATGAGGATCTGATAGTGTTCGTGTAGTCTTTAATGTTAATACTAGCACTATTGTATCAACTTAGCAACTTCAGACCCATTATAAAGTGCATTAAACCTATTATAAACCTGATCTTGACATACTTCAGACCTGTAGTCTCTCAATCTAATTGACTAAATGTGTCAAAGTATGTGGGGTTTTATATGCATATTGAATGAAGCAGAAAAACCTCTAGATCAACACATTAAGTAAGTGCATGCTAAGCAACACAAAATAAAGCAATTTTAAGAGTTAAGTGTTTTAGAACGAGGTGGTTTCACTTCATGGAAAGGCTAATCATGGTGGTTAATGTTACAGCACTAATGTCTCGCTTCAGACTTGAAACAAATATATTTCCCAGTACCGAGTTATTTCACTAACTGTGATTTATTCCCAATTTTATAGATTCTGAGTAAGGTGTCTGTGCTGGGGTCTCCCAGGAGGGCTGCTTACCTTTAGAGAGCAGGGGATGGTGATGAGGGGCAGGTGGGTCAGCCTGTGCCACTTGGTCTGTGTGGCTTGGCAGGGGACAGCCCCTCCAAGGGCTCCGCCTGCAGGTTGGCCTACCTGGGAGAGGTTTGGGAGAGGTGATGCAAGAGTAAATGAAGTCTATGCACTCCTCTGTCATGATGTAAGTTGTTTGCATAACGTTCTCCTCCATTTTGGCGTAGACGCAGGCGACAGCACCAGGCTCTTCCTTAGGGGTGAAATTTGCTTGGAAATGGAAACCATGGTCTATTATTCATGTTTATTACAGTGATGCCTTGTAGGCCTGCTGGATGCAGGGCTTAATTCTAAGAGATGCTGCGCAGATATTGGAGCAGAAAGTCTTTGATCCAAAAGTTCTGTAGTTCAGATCAATGAGACAAGGGGGGCTGAGGAGGAGATTGTGTATGTGAGCAATATGATGGATGCACTCGTTGTGGCAGTTTCACCAACTGGGCGACGAGTGAGGTGAGTTTTCTTTGGAAAAATGATAGTTTTTAAGTCTACTTCTCTACCACAGACCTGCTCTGAATCAAACACTAATTACTGACTTAAAAAAGGTTTATTCAAGAAACATGTTTTCTATTGGCAGATTTAAAAACGTTTGTATGAGAACTTCATATGGAATTTCATGTCTTTGCTACAAAGTCAGTTTGCTAGTCAGTGAAAGTGTGAAAGGGGAAAAATAAGATGTGATGCCATGTTGACAGGCTTTGATTTATGCACCCAATGCAAGCAGCAAGCTAGTCTGCCCCATTCCCACAGCGGTATGTTGCTTGAGAGATTAATTACCGATTCCTGTTTTGAAATTCTACTCTTAGAGTATGTTTTCCGAGACTGTATAAATATAAATCTTCTGCAGTGATTTTGCTAGGTATTTAATGGGTTAAGCTAGTCTAGATCATTAGCATTGTCTTCTGATCAACTGTCCTGGATTGTTTTTTGTTTGTTTGGTTTTTTACATTCAGTATACATCCAAACCCTGATTTTGAGGGTCTGCTTTGTAAGTATTAATTATACTTTAATTCTCAAAGAGTAGCGAATGGAATATTTATGGTGAATTAGACTTAATTTAATAACAGCAGTACTCCTTCAGCCCAAATCTAACTTTCTGTTGGTCTGCAAGTAAGGTTTTAATGCCTTGCGCTGTAAGTGCCATGGTATTTTCCCTGAGAGGTTTAGGGATTTGCTACTCCAATCTGATCTGTTCATTGGGGGTTTTGTGTTTTGTTTTGGTTTTTTTTTTTCTTCTGAGATAAAGCAGATTTTTTTTTATTATTATTATTTTTTTTTCAAGATTTTGGGAAGAGTGATTCCAAAGGGAGAACTGGGGTTTTAGTATACTATATTATTATTTTCCTTATTATAATTTCCCTTTGTTTTATAGGGAACTTCTTGTAATGTCGGGTTGTTTTGAATAGATTAGCTTTTTATCCTTTCTGATCTTGAAATCCTCTTAATTATTAGGACAGCCAGAGTAAATAAGGATCAATTTAAGAAATAAAAAAGGCAAAAATGCCAAGAATATACTTAACTAAATGTACAATACTCGTATCTCCCTCTTTCCAGCTACCTGCCAAAGAGTCTCCTTACAGTCATTAAAATGACCATTGCATTGTCATCACTGAATTCCTTGGGACAAATGGTTTTTCCTCTGTTCCTCAGATAGTTTCTCAAAGGCACAAGTCTGCAGGAAAGTTGCTGTAGCTGTTTGCAGAAGATGATTGCATGAAAGATGTGTGGTAGATGTAAGGATTTGAAAGTGGTTTTGACTTGCTGGAGGAATAGATACAAACCAGGCAGCAGCAATCTGTATCAGGAAACTTAATAAAAATGACAGACTCTAGTACATACATAAAAAAAAAATCTCTATCTGTGCAAAGCTTGAAGGAAGAAGAGTCTTGTGGTTAACAAGCATATTGTTTATATCTGAAAAGAAGCGCTTGTGCATAAACAGTCTCAGAGCCCGAGTGATCTTGCAGAATAATCGGCGGTCTGAGCAAGCCGGGTTGGCTGCAGGCTTCCTGTGCAGCTGTGAGCGAGGCACTTGCACTCCTGGGCTGGTACGATAGCATCATGGGTTGGGGGCAAAATGGGCAGTTCAGTTTTTAATGAAGTCTTTTTCCGTTGTAGTCATGTCAGGGGTGGTGGGGTGATGAGGGAACAAAGACTTGGTTCCCTGTTCTGAGTTCTGTAGCGGTCTGGAAACAGAAACCCGCAGGAAGACAAAAAGCTTGTTTGTCTGTTGGAGGACCAAGGTAATTTCTTGTGACGTACATCGGCTGTGCTGTCTGCTTGCTTTGCAGGGCTTTCTCAGGATCTTTCCAGAAGTTTCAATTTGTGTGTTAGAGCTTTGTTGTCTGTTTGTACCACTTAAGTTTAGGGAAGATGGCTTCAAAACTGTTACTCCTGTTATTCAGAGTCATGTTACTTACCGCTCTGCAACCCCTCTGGTCTCACTTGTCCTGGGTGAACTGATGACTCTCAACAGGCCTCTACCAAAACTTCCTGCTCCGTTCTGTCTCAAACAACTTAAAATTTATATTCACACTGAAATCCATTCTGTTTACTCTCTGAACTTTTCTGCCTCGCTCCTATTATCTGTTGTTCATTTTAAACTTGCCGGTAGTGCTGTCATCTATCCTCCTACTGTCTTGTGGATTAGAAAAAGTTTATGTAAAGTGAAGATACAGTATTTTAAGGCCATGGTTAAAATAAACAGTAGATAACTGGTCTCACTTAAAAATACATTGGTTTTCCATCTGTTTGATTTGCTGCACGTTCAATCCCTGACTGGCATGTTGGGGTTTTTTTTGTCAGTAGACGGAAAACCCTGTAGATTATTAAGTTCTTTGTAGATCTTTTCAGTAACAATACCACTTTGTTGTTTTTTTCATTTTCAGTCATTTATTTTTAGAATTTAAAAAATTGCTAAGTAAAATCGCTTTCAAAAACCTGACTCTTAAACAAACTAGTGATCAAAACATTAAAGAATGCCATATGGCTCCTACCAGTCTTGATGCTGTTATATTTCTGAAGAGTATATTCTGTGTTATTAATAATATTCAATGAAACACTCTCAGGGTAGGAAAATATTTACTGAAATTATTATGAAATGCACTTTTCATAGCATTCTTACCCAAGATGTTCTAGTCAAAATACTAGGAGTGGATCTTTTGGATTAATCCTTGCACACAATGGGTTAGAAGAAGATAGATGCTGGGACAAATACAAGTTATGGAAGGGGAAAGAAGATGCAGCAACCGAAGTGTTTAAAGATTGGCAGTAGAACAATTTTAATATACCCACTCTTCATACAGTGTAGAAAATTGAAGGCCCATTCCAATAGAAAAAGGAAACAGAATTTAAATACTTATTGCTCTGAAAGCCCTCGGTATAATTTATATGAAATCAGATGGTTCAGAGCTCGTATATAGGGATAACGAAAATGGCTGCATTGTTTAAATCAGGATAATTTCAATTCATACTTGTAAAGAAGTTGTCCTGGTATCCAGTTGATGAAAATGTGAGTTCTATCTTGTCATGTCATGGGGCCAGGGGAGGAAATTTGTTCTTCAAAATTAAATGCTGTAAAGCTCCGATACAGCTAGTGAGCAAGTTGCTGTAAATAGTTGAGCACATACTGGTTTTGGTAGGAACAACACGGAAACCTCAGTTACATGCCCTTGACATAAGTGGGGCCCTGCACAAGTTCTGGAGTCTCTGTTGTCAAAGCAAGGCAAGGCATAAAGAAAATAAAAGCACAGATGATGACTGATCTAATTTACTCATTAGGAGGAGTTGTTTTATGGATATAGAAGCCAAAAATGAGCAAATATATGAGCAAAAAAACCCAGAGTCCTTCCAACTGTCAGGTGGAAGTGGCTGACTGAACCGAAAATTGCAGGAGCTAACTAGACAGCTGCTGGTTTTTGGTTCATATGGCTTTTGATGGTAGCAGGTAAGAGAAAGAAAATGTGTTTTCACATTTGACTGTCTAACAACTTAATTAGGACTCTTTCTAATCTTTTGACATATGAAATACTTTTTTTTTTTTTAAATCAAATTGTCGCTGGAAAAAATGGAGGAAAAGAACACCCAGTCTGTCTGTATGTGCTGCAATCATTTTGATTAACTTCTGACCTTGAATACATGAATACTTAAGGTTCCAAAATTTTTATGCATCTTTTCTCCCTAAGTGAAACCAGAGATCCCCTTAGATAGTATCCCATAGAAATGACATTTAAAAGTGAAAAACACACACAAACCTCATGAGTGTTTGGGATTTTAATGATGGTATTTTTAGACTTGTGTGTCACTGAACTGTGTTAAGGTTTAGATTATTTTAATGCCTGTTGTTTTTAGAAGTATCCATGGCTTGTTCTGTCAGCTGTTACGTGTATGTTGGATCAGCAAGAAACAATTAATTTAACCTCCTTGTGAATGTTAGAGCCTCTTTTCTGTTATTAGCCTTCCATCTGTTTGCAAATCCATTGTCAGTATTTAAATAAATTTTGCATTATCATTAAATATTTAAAGGCACTGGATACATCAATGCGTGACTAATTTTAAGAGTATGATACCGTGCTTTCAGTTGAGTTTTGAAAGACTGCGATTTCATTGGCGCTCTTCTAGTAGGAAAAAGTCCAGACCTGAAAAAAAGCACTTCAGATTCCTAGAGAAGATATTCCCGATCATAAACTGAATGCTCTTAGAGAAATTTCAGGTTCTTCTGGAATAACATGCTCTCTTCAAATATTGGTCCTTGAAAGGGTTCCTGTGTGATAATAACACTAATCCAAACAGCAAAGGGATGACAAAACCAAAATGTATTAAATGTTCAACCTTCTCATAATGAACACAAGCTAATCTTCCTAGGTTAAATTTACAGATATTAATATAGCAAAAATAATTGCCTAATATAATGTTTTTGAGCTGGTAGCCTGTTGGCAGAGCATTGTTTGGTTTTTTTTTTCCTTGAAAGGAAAGCTTCTGTTAGCTAGCCTAGCTTATTAGAACGGTTTGTTGTTTTTAAATGTGAAAGCTGGTTAGTCAAATCAAAGTCTTAAGTAGTGGTGAATTTATTTTTCACTGTTGCTTGTCAGCTTTGCAGTCTTTTACTTCTGCAAAGGATAAGTGTGGGCAGCTGCACTACCGTTACCTCCTAATCCACCTTTCTTCAATTTCAGAGTGTGACTTGAAGAGATCATTGTAGGACCTGTACTTATTTTCTCTTCCTGTGTTTCTTTGCTCCCAGATCTTTGATGCCTTTGAGGTTATTATCCCAATTTTGAGGGTCCCTTGTTTTAAAGTTATAGCCCCATCCTAATTCCTACCTCTCTTCCCATTCAGCCTAGAAGCTCTAGCCTCCCGCCAATTTCTGCTGTGGTCGTGGAGTGCTTTGAAAATCACGTTTCAAGAGGAGATTGATGAACCTTTTGAAGGCCATCATGAGGCTTTGGGTGATAATTTAGTTAATTAAAAAAAACACCTGGGTATATATGTGGCTCCATTATTAAATTACAAAATCATGGCTATCCTATGGTATAGTAGGGAATACTAGAAATAAAACAGCCTTGGGGAGGGAAGGATAAATTGAAAGAAAAGCACTTAATTGCCACAGTAAATTTAAATATATAAATTATTATCTCTCCTAAACATGAAAGATGTTATATTGCACAATATTAAAGCTGCTGTTGGGACAGCTTCACAGAATTGGTCATAAAACACGTTTTTATTGATGCTGCTATATACCACTAGTTAGTCTAGACAAATGGCCTTCCCCACCCTGATATTGCATTTATTGCTCAAGAATGTCACTTACAAAAAAAGAAGCCGTCTTTGTCCTTGGTGACTGGCGTTGCAGGTCTGTTCCCATGTGGTACCTTAACCATGTTATGTTTTGTTCGCAGGGTAGCCCTAGTTCCTTGAGAGTGCGCAAGGTATTGGATGCTTGTGGTAAACCATGGCAGCTGATGATAAAGTTGCCATTTTAACCGATGATGAAGAAGAACAGAAGAGAAAGTATGTGCTTGCTGATCCTTTCAATGGCATTTCCAAGGATCAAGACTTGCCACCCCATAATGAATCCCCTTCGACGGAGACAACCACTGTCCCAGATGAAGAGCTAGATTGGTTAGAAAAGCACTGCGTCAAAATAAACAACGATCTTCTGATCTCAAAGGTCTTCTATTTTTTCTTCTATTCTGCATATGGCTCTCTCTACCCCTTGCTGCCTGTGTATTACAAGCAGCTGGGTATGTCACCCAGTCAGAGTGGACTTCTGGTGGGCATCAGGTACTTTATTGAGTTTTGCAGTGCTCCCTTCTGGGGTGTGGTGGCAGATCGCTTCAAGAAAGGGAAGATCGTCCTCCTCTTTTCGCTTTTATGCTGGGTTTTATTTAACCTGGGGATTGGATTTGTTAGACCAGCCACCTTAAGATGCGTACCAAAGGGCCTTCCCCCAGCACATCCCACCAATGCAAGCAGCCTTTTAACAACAGTTTCGCAAAATGCCTCGATGTCTTCTCCGCTAACCACAGTGAGTACTGCATTCCCAAAAGTTCGTGGGAAGAGAGACCTGCTCACTTCCAGTCCGGTCCCTTTGGAAACAACAGGGACAGCTAATCCTGAAGTAACATTCCTGTTACCTACACAGAGCAATGATGTGGAGTTTGTCTTGGAAAACAGTACCCATTTTATTTTGAAAAACACCACCACTAGCCCAGTCTCACCAGGGAACGCGACTCCGAGTACCACCCCAGCTGCCATCACCACAAAGCCGATGCCTTCTGACCAAGCTGTGCTCGTTTATGATCAACAAGAAGTAGAAGCCATCTTTCTACTCATTCTGCTGGTTGTCATAATAGGAGAATTTTTCAGTGCTTCTTCTGTTACTATTGTGGACACCGTAACTCTGCAGTACCTCGGCAAACACAGGGACCGGTACGGATTGCAGCGTATGTGGGGGTCTCTGGGCTGGGGGCTGGCCATGCTCTCCGTGGGAATTGGCATTGACTACACCCATACAGAAGTTGGCATTGAAGGTCAGGGATGTAAAGCTCCTGAGTACAAGAACTACAGGATAGTTTTCATCGTTTTTGGTGTTCTGATGACAATGGCATTAATTGTGGCCACCCAGTTTCGATTTCATTATGCGCACTTCAAACAAGACGATAATAAGAGAAAAGAGGTAGAAATCTCACAGGTGGACAGAAGTGCCTCCAACGAATCCTCCGATAACACTCCTACCAGTACGAGCCAATCGCAGTCTTTCAGTTTTTGGGACCTAATAAAACTGCTGTGTAGTATCCAGTACGGCTCAGTGCTCTTCGTGGCCTGGTTCATGGGGTTTGGATATGGCTTTGTGTTCACCTTTCTTTACTGGCACTTGGAAGACCTGAACGGCACCACCACTCTCTTTGGAGTTTGTTCTGTGCTCAGTCACGTGTCTGAGCTGACTGCCTACTTCTTCAGCCACAAATTGATTGAATTGGTTGGTCATATCAGGTAAGATGTTAGCCATCGTTAAAGATCTATACAAAAAATTTTGAATTTCAGGCCTAGCCTTGTGTTGCAAAGTGAAATTCAAGTTAATTCTTTTGTTTTAAAGTTCTGAGTCCTGCTCAGTTACATAGTTTGCCTGATGGAGTTTATTATTATTATTTTAGGAGTTGAAAATGCTCTGGAATGCTTCCTTTGCATTTTAGTTGCGTGTTAGTATGTGCGTTATGCCTGGCACCGTAACCTTTTGCAGACTGTTCCAGAAGACATCCTAGTTCACTGATGCAAATGAGCGGCTGTACAAATCGCCACCCACTCAAGGATTGTCTGTTTTGACATACAAATACTATTAATTTCACAATATTTTTTTCAGTGAGTAGCAGCATTCTGGAAACCTCCAGCCTGCTTCTCTTCTTGGGGCAGTTCTTTGCCCCCACAGTAGCCTGGAAAGGTGTCACTTGCACACTGAGAAGGGAGGAGGATGAAATGAAGCAGGGAGGTGAGCACCTCCTGTGCACATGCCCTGGTAATCAGACTCTGGGTGTTGGCAGAATGAGGTTGCAGCCTGGTGGTGTCGCTTACCGGTTCAGTTCCTTGCTCTCTTCCTTTAGTTGCAACTGTGTGTGTTAGCTACTGAAGAGAGATGGCTGTGCAGGGCTTCTCCCGTAGTTTTTGCCTTGTGTAAGTGAAACTGAGTACTTCCAGCATGTTAGTGAACATTGTTTTCCACTAAACTCACAATTGACTTAATTTCCACATATTGTAAATCCCTTCACTACTCTTTTAAAAAAAGCTCAGGGGAGGAAAGATAGGGGAGAATCTGAGTTAATGAAGTCATAAAATTTTTTGGTGTGTTTTTTTTTATTTTATATTTACTCAGGTACTCTGTGCAACTGAGCACAGAGCTCTGTGCTGTTAGCATCATGTCTTTCTCAAATGCCCTGTTTATAATCATCCAGTTGCTAAGATGTAAGTTGTTTTTTAAGCTGTCTGCACTGTTCTTTTTCGTGCATTCTGTTCTGTGGTTTTGCTCTTTGTTGGTGTTTTTGTTTGTTTGTTTTCCTTTTATTGGGATGAATTTTTTTGATTCATTTGATCTCTACTAAAAGTGTTTGAGATGCTTAGAACAGTAATTTGAGAGATTACTTAAAAGATGGTTTTTTTTCTTCCCTTAAAGTGAGCAGGATCTCTTTACTTTGAGTCAGTCTTTTAATCTCTGAATTTGACAATAATTAGTATGAGAAAACATGACACCTTGCATGCGAAGACTGGAGGAAGGATATGATGATGGAGGAGTGGTGAGAACAGATCACAATCTTGATAGCTAAAGATAGCTTGGGTATGCTCTTTCAATGTATATTGTTATAGTACAAAATTCAGGCTTAGACTTCAACTGGAGAAAGAACGAAAAACAAAAGAATGGTAGGCTTGTGAATAAGATGAAGTAGAAGGGGACAGGAGCATTGGGCAGTAAAAAGAAAGATGATATACAGGATTAACTCCTCTTTTTTTTTTCTTTTTTTCTTTGCACTGTTAAGCCTATGAAGCCAAGATTGGATCAAGATTAAGTTGTTTAAACACTAGCTCCTATTTGCAATGAAACAACATTCTCTATACCTACACCTAGGAAATGCGCATTAGTCATATTTTAATGTTATCTAATGCTTACTTGTATTTAGTCATCACAGTTTATGAGATGTCTCCTTCTGGTTGCCATTCTTGTGCTTTTTGAACTTTGTATAATGCATGGTTTGCTCAAGAGGAAGCAAACTTTTTTTTTTGAGAGAGAGGAATTGGAGTTCATGATGTTTTAAAGTTCTGCATATGTCTGCTGCCTTATAGTATGGATATTCATTCTCCCATTAATAAGAACTGATAACCTCCAACTATATAGTTCCAAGAAGGATATCTTAGCCAGAAGCATTTAGGATTTTTATTTTTTTTCTTAATTAGCTCAATATTCCTTGTTTACCATTTTGGCATAAAAGCAGTTATATATTATGGGAATTCTGGTGTAAGGTCTTGTATGAAATGAAAGAAGTACCCCTTAATCCACAGCTAGCTGTGAATATTTCCCTGGGTGTTTCACAGTTAGAGGCAAGGTGACTTGACATCTCTTTTTGGTAAGATGACTTAAGAGCTGAGGTTGTCTCACCTTACGTTGACTTCTATCACTAATGTTTAAAAAAATAAAAAAGGATATTTGCACTTTTTCTTCTGGGTTGTTAGAATCCTAGATGTAGACAGTCTTTCTGCAGTATTTATTTGAACATTATCATTCAATCTTTCCTTCCTGGCCTAATTCTTTGAAGATGGGTATGATTCCCAGAACTGCATGCACTGTAGCAGGAAAAAATGCTATTGACTGTCCTTTGCAGAACTACAAGAAAACAGGCTTTACGTCCTTTTCAGATAGAAGCTGTTTTCCTTTTCTAGCCTTGTAAAGCTTTCTGTTCCTACCATTGTATGTGTTGGCATGCAAGATCCTTACAACGTTTTGAAACCTGCTCTGTTTTCACAGGTTTTTTTAACTAATACTCAAATTATTGTCCAAGTACTTTAAGCATGACCATACTAAACATATGCTGATTAAAATGCCTGATTTCTGACTTCATTAGCTCTGCTGTTCATCTACACGTGCACTGTGTGTGTGCATATGGTGTACATGCTCCTAGCGTTTCTAACGTTGTATATCAGCAGGTCACTAGATGAATCTGGAATAATGGCAGTGATCACTTCAGTTAGAAAGCTGTTCTGTAATTGTACAGATTTACAAGGGGAGAGAATATTGCAGATGTCAGTAGGCTATTTTTTTACCTTACCTCCTCCAGCCACCTTCTGAAAGATGACATAGTAGATTTTCATTTAAAAGTAAACTAAAAAGTTAAAAAAGTCAACAGAAAGTGTGGTGAACGCCACAAGTTCTTTGAGAGGATATTGCAATGGAAAAGCATACAAAACCAGCTGTCACATATTTAGACAGCATTGTTGAATGGTAATGAATCATAGGATGGTTTAGGTTGGAAGGGACCTTAAAGCTCATCTAATTCCAACCCCCCTGCCATGGGCAGGGACACCTCCCACTAGACCAGGTTGCTCAAAGCCCCATCCAGCCTGGCCTTCAACACCTCCAAGGATGGAGCTTCCACAGCTTCTCTGGGCAACCTGTCCCAGTGTCTCACCATCCTCACAGTAAAGAATTTCTTCCTAATATCTAGTCTAAATCTACCCTCTTCGGTTTAAAACCGTTACCCCTTGGTCCTATCACTACACTCCCTGAGAAAGAGTCCCTCCCCATCTTTCCTGTAGGCCCTCTTTAAGTACTGGAAGCACTCCTGACTGCCATTGAGTTTAGGAAGATGATACTAATCTCTGAAAATAACCTCCTACTTGAGGTTAAGCTTGAGTGTGTTTGTCTGACCACAATTCCAGCATGCGAGTTTTTATAGGAAGCAGAGACTGGTAGTCATGGCTGTAAACAGCTTAGTCTCCTTAACATAAATATAGATTCAGTGCTTTAAAATGTTTAACCTGTAAATTGAATATGGTGTCTTTGTGGATACTGCATGTAGAGTTCATAAGGAACATCTGTTTGCATTATCCATTTAAGTCTGATAAAGAGCCTAAGTGATTATTATAAATACGTTTTTGAAAGGACTCTCTAAATACAAAAAAGTTCTCGTGTGATGTAGCCCTCCAAGAGCATAATTATAGAAATCTCTATAACCTGTAATGTACCTAAAACTTTGTGCATATTCTAACAAATTAAAAGGTAGAACCCAACTAAATTGCTGCTCTTAAACACTGAATCCAAATCTGTCCGCAAGTGTAACGGGGTGGAAAAGGACAGGTAGCCAAGTGTGTTAGTGGTGATGGAAAAACTATGAAGCAGGAGGAGACCTCTTCACATCTCTGCACTGGCTGTGATGAAGAACAGCTGAGATAGGAAGAAGGTTCTTGGTGCACCGGCAAAGTTTTGCTAGACAGAAGCGAAACTAAGCTGGCAAGAACTGGTCCTAAACAGAGAGCTGGGCGCATCTGTACTGCTGATGAGAAAAACCAAGTTTTTGGTGAGGTGGTTCCTTTGTATCCCCAAGAGTGTGCATCAGCCTGAGCCTTAGTAGAGGAGAATGAAGAAAGGAGCCTGCAGACCTTGTATGTTTGCTTACCTTTTGTGGCGAATGTCTCCTAATACACTTCAGCAATGTGATTGTACATAAGGATTACATTAAGTTGTGGCTATGAAAGGAACTAAGTTATTTCTTTGGAACAGAAGGCATTAATTAAAGGGGGAGATGAAATTTATGATGCATGGTGCAGAGAACAAGCTTGTTCTCTTTCTTGTATGTTTCAAAACTTTGTCATGGCTTCCATGTTTTCTTCAATGAAAGCTTGGGCTTGCGTTGCCTAAAGGCAGCTTAAACCAGCTATTCATGGACCTTACATGTGTCTGGAAACAACACAGCTTGGTCTGATCTGTGATGGCGGGGGCAACTTTCTGCAAGCTTACCCAGCTTGTTGAAAGTAAAATATATTGTCTCCTGTAAATCCATGTTGCTGTGAAATGCACAGACCTGTCTTTATAATTTTGAATGTTTCTGGTATCACTGTGTCGAGGTTTAAGCCGAACATGGTGAGAACTGTGGTACTGGGTTTTTAGCTGTCAACATGTATATTTGGAGACTTCAGATGTTAACAAGATGCTGCGTTTTTATGATTGCATCTCACTCTAGATTTTTCAGCAGCTATGTACCATTTAATTAAATCTCAGTCTGCTTTTGTAGAATAACTAAAAAAGCAGCACAAATAATAGCAAGTCCTTTCATGGTGTCTATGTTTACACCTTAATTATTAATTGCATTTATTTCACTTGTTCCAAACCAGGGGTCCACCAAGAAGCCGTATTTGGACAATAAATTATCCTTGTCCCTGAATAAATCTTTAAAGTTTGCAATAGCATCTTTTTTTCAAGCTTGAAACATGTTTTTGAATTAAGTCTTTGTTTCCAAAGATCCATCTGAAAATAACAGAAAGATAGTTCAATGAATAAGCACCCAGGAGGAAAGCTAAGCTAAATCTGAAAACTGGAAGGGAAAAGTCGTCAGGTTAAATATGCAATGGGGAAAGCACTGCACAAATAATCTTTGTGCTTCATTGTTTAAAAACTGTTATAAGAGCTTTTTTTCTCTCCGTTCTGAGATGCAGCATCTGCTGCGTTTCAACAGGATGGTTAAGTTTTATCCTGAGGCATGTTGTTATAAACCATATTGCTTCTGTGGGATGTGTTTTTAGAGTAGTTCTGAGCAGTTTGCAGATACTGGGACTATACACTTATATTAATTGGGGTAAAATTAATTCATCTAATACAAACCTGCACCAGGCTTACATTAAAATGGAAGAATGAATCTCTGAATGATTAGAAGAGAAGATTAATTGCAAGGGATGTTGAATGTGCTTAGAAACGGTCTCACTGAAATACAATCCTGTGTCAAGCGTGGCATGGAACTACAGAGCTTAGTTAAAATCTCAATGGATCTGCTGTCCCTTTGAAAATTTTTTTGCATTGGGATTTTGAAGAGAGTCTTAACTAACCTCAGTTTGAGTATGTGTTTGGAGTGGGCAAGAGGAGAGTTTATGTTTGGGTGCAAGACTTAAAGACTGTATTTTGTGTTGAGCAAATGCTTTAAACTGGCAAACTGTACACGTGCAAATGATTTCTGAAGCAGTAAGGTATATTATAACATACAAAAAAAACCAAAAGTGCAAACCATCCTGACTTCTCTTTTCCTTATTTCCTTTAGAGTGCTGTATATTGGTCTTGCCTGTAATACAGCTCGATATATTTACATCTCGTATCTGGAAAACGCCTGGACTGTTCTTCCGATGGAAGTACTTCAAGGTATGACAGTGCAGTATTGCCCTTCCAGTATAGTAAGATCAGGTGCTTACGTTAATCTTGTTTTCAAGTGAACTGTGATTAAGGAAAAATCTGGTATTTCTCATATTTTTTTGATTACAAATATCCCAGAATACCCAGGTTCATAAAACATTACTGTTTATCTTGGGAAATGCTTGACGTCAAAAGGGTGGGTTTGCGTTTGATTGTGCACAGTTCTCTGTTTATTCAAACAGAACCGCGTGAGACCAACACACCCTTTAACTAAACAAAGAGGCAGAAGCACGAGCTGGGTACACACCTACTGCAAATCCTGTTTGGTGGTAAATGTGAACTTCATTAAATGCAAAAGGTCTTGAAAGGATGCTGTTAAAAAAAAAAAAGAACATCGTCTGGGTCATTCTGTCTCTGTTAAAATATTTTGTAGGTTTTCAGTTACATTGTTCGATCAATACCTTTAAAATATAGAACTTTCTTTTTTTAGTAGCTAAAGAGGGATTTCTTTCAATAGCTTTGTCTGTGCCAACAGAGCTTCTTTAAGATGCTTGCCCTTTAATTAGAAGGACAGAGGTGTGGTTTATAAAATGTAGTTTGAGCCCTGTTTTCAAGTGGTGTTGTCAAAGAAGCCTAAGACCTGCATTTCAATGTTAAAGTATAAATTGTTCTAACTTATATTTTGCGACATTTTTTTCATGTCTTTGTAGTGGGTACCACGTCTCAAAACCAGGAAAAATCTAAACTATTTTATTTTCTGTTTTTTTCAGTATTTGAAGAATACTGAAGTATTTGGGTTTGTAAGCTTGCAAGAGAATGGTTAATTTAAATGCAGAAAATGTTTTCCCTGCCTTTAAAAATAATTGTGCCATCTTTGCTAAAGCCAGTATTTTGGCTTTATACAATACTACTAAGTATCATCTGTGGAAATTTTTCTAAGAAGTTTTATTCTTCTACGTGCAGCATAATTTGAATTTGCATTAACTTTTTCTACTGTATTTTTTGAAATCTTTGTAAGGTAGATTTTAACTTGAGTTAAAAAATGTCATTGGTGAGCACTGTGTAGATGTCTCTATATATGTAGAAAGAAATCTTTATGCTGGCTCTTTCCCTCCCTGCTAACAAAACCTGTTTATTGTGTTACAACTGCCACAACAGCAACCTTCTGAATTTTGTTATTAAAAAAAAGCCCAAACCACAACTATTAAGTATGAAAATGTCCCAGAGAACCTGAAGAATGCATATGGGTTATGTTCTTGCCTGCTTAAACATCTAGGGGGAACAAATGATGAATGCAAAGTTTTGGATATTACCTTCTAGGTAATCCTGTTTTAAAGACACCCCAACTCAAAATATAGGAAAAAAAACCCTTGTGTCTCAACAATACAGCCATAAGTTTGTGCCCAGAGGCATCATAGGAGCATAGTCATGGCTGAGAAAGAATTTTCTATTACTTTGAATCTTTTTTTATTCTGCTGTAATTCCAATATGAATAGCTTAATATGTAGGTTTGGTTTTACAGCAAGGGAGCTGTTTTGGTGGGGGGTTTTGTGTGGTAGTCTTGAATAATCAAGATTTAAAGAAAAAACTAAGCACCTTCAAAATAATACTTTCTAATAAATTTATCTGCCAGACTTTATCTCTATCTAGCCATTGCTTAATCTTGTACACTTGGCTTACTCTTGCAATTTGCAGTTATTTATAGTCAGCAAACGAGAAAGTTAAAAACAAAACACACACATACACCCCCACTCACCCACCACCCCAAAAGCCTCTTCGTGTTCTATGTGCACTTTTTAGCCTGCATCTAACATGGTTTATTAGTGTCCATAAAGTCCACGGGTATGCTATATGTGCGTCTAATTACTGCCACTGCATTTGTTACAATCCAGTAATCTCATTCAGTGTTGCTGAATGAGAGATCAAGTTTATCTTTTTAGAAGTACTGTTGACTTCCCCCTCCCCCCTGCCTTTATTCACATATTTTCTCGTCCTTGCGCTTACCGCTTTTAATATCTCTTGATTCAGTATTTCTTTTGCCGCAGTTACCAAAACTTTTTTCTTTGGGGTCTGCTTTCTTTCCTACACGTCCACTGAATCTGTCGGTAGGGATAAGAGGTGACACCTTAATGAAATTTGGTGAGGTGGCAGCTCTTACTTTTAAGTGAGTTTGTTGACAGGGGGAGGTAAGTGTTGTAGCTGCTTTGTATACGTAAGGGTTAGAGGTATTTAAAAACAGAAAAAGAGCAGATTATGCAGAACATGTGGGTACCATGGGGGTCACGTGACTGCATCAGGTTGATAGGTCTATTAAATGCCTTGTTGAAGTCCTTGTTATAGTTGTACGTAACTCTTTTTCCAGGAAGCTGTCGAATTCTATGTAAATTCCAGTTCCATCAACTGGTTGATGAGGAGCAAGTTAGAGATCAGTTAGACAAACTGGATATACACAAATCCATGGGGCCTGATGGGATGCACCCTTGAGTGCTGAGGGAGCTGGGGGAAGTCATTGCTGGGCCGCTCTCTATCATCTTTGAAAGGTCCTGGAGGACAGGTGAGGTGCCTGAGGACTGGAGGATAGCCAATGTCACTCCAGTCTTCAAAAAGGGCAGGAAGGATGACCCGGGAAACTACAGGCCGGTCAGCCTCACCTCCATCCCTGGAAAGATGATGGAACAGCTTGTTCTGGGAGTCATCTCAAAGCACCTGGATGAAAAGAAGATTATCAGAAGTAGTCAACATGGATTCACCAAGGGGAAGTCGTGTCTGACTAATCTGATAGCCTTCTATGACAAAGTAACTAGATGGGTGGATGAGGGGAGGGCAGTGGATGTTGTCTACCTTGACTTTGGCAAGGCTTTCGACACTGTCTCCCACATCATCCTCTCAGGCAAGCTTAGGAAGTGTGGCTTAGATGAACGGACAGTGAGGTGGATTGAGAACTAGCTTACAGATAGAGCT